CAAGGTGCACATGTTCCAGTCCTCCATCTCGGGAAGACAAAGGCTCGGAGGACCGGTGCTGGGGAGGAGTGAGGAAGAGCTCAAGTCCTGGGTGGCACATGACAGGACTGGGGAAACTGAGCACTGTCCGCGCCCTTAGAGGAGGAAGTGGCTCTGGGGAGGGAGAAGCCAGCTGTCCCCTGAAACACGGGCTGTCCATCATGCCTGAGTCCATGTGGGCAGAGGCTTGTTTGACAAGAATGGACTTCAAGAAGTACGATTAGGAGTGTTTCCAAGACTTGTTCATTTGCCAGGCTCTTTCCTAGAATGCTGTTGGGACGGTGCTGCTTCCCCATCTCTTTGCGGGATGGGGTTTAATCAGTTTTATGGCCTTTGCGACTTCAATTAGTTTTATTATTCAAGACCACATAGAAACTGAACGGAAAGCAAAAGTGGATGCGGATGGTGGATGTTTGGATTTCGAGAAGGGATTCTCTCAAGGGATTTTCAAGTCTTTATTGAAAATGAGTTTCAAAACCAGGCTCCCAGCCAGCCACCTCTGGCCCCCACTGGCTCTCCGTGCAGGCTGGTGGGCATTTGCCTGAGGAAGGGACCTGGCCTAGGATTCCCCGGGGACTGATCCCATCTCCAGCCCTGGTGGAGAGCTCAGCACCCAGAGGCCCTACCCTGGGGGAGATGGCAACAGGAGTAGGATTTCTGACAGGATTTTGAGAAACATTCTCACTTAAAGCCTGAAGTGTAAAATGAATTTTAATCTCTGAAGATCAGACAACTTCTTCAATGTAATGATCTACTCTCAATTACCTATCAGTGGGCGGCCCACATCACAGAGGACTGAACGCCAAAGACGATTTCAAATACCCATGTCACTGCTTAGATGTTATCTCTGCCTTTTACCAAACTTTTCATTTTTTAACCTCTCTCCCACAAAGCTCTTAACCCACACAGTTCTGCTAACCGAGGCTCACCCTTTTGGATTCCCCTGCTGAACTGTGGTCGAGGTGCTAATTAGCAGGGAAAGTGCCAAATGGCAGGAAGCCAGGAGCCATCGCCAGTGGAGAGACCAGCACAGACCACAGATTGACAACCTGTGCCCTTGAGATGGAGGCCTGCCTTTAATGGGTTGTGCACCCAAGTCCTTTGGCCACGGGGAGCCACGCCCTGGTTGGCAGCAGGTATTTCCTTACCTACTAAGAGGTCCTTACCATTTCCCCATCCCCTGGCTAGGAAGCTGCCCTTTATTGAGCACCTACTTTGTGTCAGACACTTGTTCATTGAATTCTCACTGGGACTCTAAGGTAAGCCTGGCTAGCTCTGTTTGTGAAGGGGTAAAGTGAGGCTGGAGACACTTTCCAAATGTCACATACCAAGTAGAACTGAAGGAGCCAAGCCTTTGTTCTTTCCACTGAGCCATGTTGGGGAAGTGCCTGGCATTTTGTGGGCACTTGATAAATGTCTGTTATTGTTGGAGAAGACGGAAAAAAAACCAAACTATCCCCTTGTTATAAATGTAACAAAATATATTTGAAGCTACTGGGAGCCTCCTTTGTCCCGATTTTCCACATCTGATTTACCTGTCCTATTTTAACCAACTCACGTGAACGTCGGTTACATAACCGGCACATGGTTTTACTGTATATAACTTAGGTTACATAAATCGGAGGCTGCTGACTGCCAGCAATCTTGAGAATGTAATGAGCTGAAGGATCCACTTGGAGCCTGGGGGCAGGATGGCTTTGGCTTAACCGTTTGCTGAGTTCAGCTTTTAAGAGGATAAATTTGCTGCATCCCTTCAATAATCCAGCAGAAGCCTGGTTACCAAACAACTCCAGAGGAGATTTAAGTCTCCAGGACTGTTAGAAACCTAAATAAAATAAGGCTTAAGTTGAAAGTCTTTGCAAACCCTGGGTCCACATTCCATTAGGATGACATCATAGCAGGTTGAAAACCAGGCAGCCTTTCCTGTTGTGTCCAGAATCCTCCTCACCAGAGGGAATTAGCACAGTGATCAGGAGGTGGGGCTCACAAGGGCCTCCATCCCAGTGCGGGGGTTCTGCAGCTGGAGATGCAGCCACACACCACGTTGGGACTGTTCTGTCTGAGGGTAGATGGCATACAGGACCAGGCCCATAGAGTTACCATGGAGCTGGGAAGGTCCTGTTTCCCAGTGACAGGCCGCCATCCTAACACTGGTGCAACACGTTCCTCATGTGCTTGTGTGAGCGACCCACTGCCCTGCCAGTCATGTGAAGTTTAGCTCCTTTAACTGCAGGTGCGTAACCGGGCAAGGGCAAGCAGTGACGGTGATGTTGATTTGGGTCTTCACCACAGCGTGGTACGTTAGATCTCCTCTTCTGCTTGTTAAAGAGCTCAGTGCGCAGCAGTAGGCTTTGTCATGCCAGCAGCAGCCTTCGACATCTCGTGTCCCTCCTGTCCCTCCTGTCCCTTAATTGCATCAAAAAGCCCCTCTGAGCGATCGACCTCTCAGACCCAGGTTTGCACAGTGGCCTGTGGTGTTCAGGGTGGCGGAGTACACTGCCGCGCCCTCCTCCTTAAGTTGATCCGTCTCAGACAATACAACTTAAAATTCCCAGGAGGTGAATCTATGTCTCCTTGTTTGGCCGGTCTTCTCAGAGAAGAAATGTGGTGTTCTGATGAGTTGCCACAACCCAACAGCAGACTGGGTGGCATACGCGGAATCTTCCCACAGCCTGTGAAGGGTCCCCACGCCGGTCGGAGGGGTGGGTTTCTCCCTCGGCTGCCGTGCTGTGCCTGCACATGGCTCATGCCCCACGTGGCCTTTCTCCATGGGCAAATGTCTCCTCTTCTGAGGACACCAGTCCTGTCAAAAAAGGGACCTTATGAGCTTCTTTACCTCTTTAAAGGTCCTTCAGCTGCAGTCATGGGTGGGGGCTGGGGCTAGAGGTCAACATATGGACTTGGGGGATACAGCTCAGCTGCTGACAGGAAGCTGTGTCTCCGTGCTGGCACATCCACGTTAACTTATTTGGAGGACGTCTATGTGGTATTTGGCCATCTTCAAGACCCTGGTACCCAGTCGATGGTACTTTGCTATGTTACTCCTAGCAAATCACTTCCTAATGAATAACTTTAAAACTCCACCGTCTACTATGTCCTAAGAAATAGCATTTAAATATTCTTCACAACAATGCTGATGTGTTGGCCTATATCCCCATTCCAAAGATGATAAATTGGGATTTGAACCTAAAGTCTTGATCTACTTACCTTTCCATGTTTTATTTCTGATCATAAATCATGAATCTCACAAATCATAAATCTGATTTTTCTGCTTTTTGGTGACCTGTATGACTTCTCTGTGGATCTTCACAATATTTTCTCAGATTAGCAAGAGTCAGACTTGGATCCGGTCCTAGAAAGAGAAGAGTTACGTTGGAGAGCAAAGCCCCTGGGAATCTGATGCTCTGCTTTGCTGCTTAGTATGTCAGACATCTACTTGCTTTGGAAAAGCAGTTGTGGCAACAGTCAGACTCCTGAAAATGTTGTGTAGAAATCAATTTGTAGGTACTGGAAAAAGTATATTGAATGCAAATGGAACTTACTCTTCAACCCAAAACTCAAGCCCTTTTGCTAAATTTTATTTGAGTTAACAATTCATCCTGCTTAATTTTGTGTGAATTTGATTTTCCTGTGTTGGTCTCTGTGGTCAGTTCATGGTGAATTTTTATGTGTATAATAATTCACCTCCTCCCAATCCCTGCCTCTCCATTTCCAGCTCCCCACACCCTTGGCTCTGATCTTGGGCAGGTCACTTATTTTTTCTTACCCTGCGTAGGTCTCTGGGCTGGGTGATGATCCAACAAGATCATGAACATAAAGCATTTTGAAATCCACGAGGTGCTGTGTGGGTTGCTATTATCAGACCATCCGGATGGGCACATTTGGTCATTTTCCCCCAGGGGGCCATACCTCATTTCTATTTATGAACCTTGTTACTGTAGCTTCTGACCACATCTTTATGATTTAATAACTAGATCAAAATAAACTCCCAGAAATGGCTTTTTCCAAATTATTCTTTATTTCCAGCCAGGTTGGCATAGGGTGGGGATTGAGAGGCTTCTAAATAAATCTTGCTGATACAGGGACTTTCAGGCAACATTGGTCACAGGAAGACAGATTGCAAAATCTCCCCCTCTCAATGACCAAGTGAAGGAACAAAAGTTGTAAAAGCCAAGAAAGATTTGTCAGCAGGAAAATAGTCAAGGACTCAGGGTAGACTGGTGCCACACCCTTTGACAGGTAGGGTCCAAGGAAGGAATAGAACATTCTTGGCACAGCATGCTATGACTTTGACCCATGCCCTCCTTCCAATTCCCTGAACATTATGAGAAAGAAGGTGAATTTAGAAAAAACACGTGATTTCCCATCAACATTTCTAGTTTTAGAAAGGAAAAGAATTTAGGGGCCTGGAATCAGATGCATCCTGCCCCGTGGTTAATGCTAGGAGGCTTCTTTGCCAGAGGCTTTGAACTGGGGGTAGACGAGTATCTTGGGGAAATTTTGTGACATTCAAAGGTGGCCCCCTAATGCTCTGCACTTGCACATTATCGGAATCCAAAGTGAAAAAATAACACAAACCTGGGTCCTGTCCATTGAAGAGTTTTGGGGTGCACATATGTTCTGGGTAGAAAAACCCCCACCCACCCACCCAGGGCTCAAAATAGAACCTTTTGGAATTTGTGGAGCCTAGTCTTGTGGTTTGGTAGGTGAGACATTTTTGTAGCTGTTCCATATATACAGTGTTTGAATAGCTTCCTCCCAAATGCGTGAGCTATGCTCTTCCCTCCTCTGATTTCTAGTTTACTTTCTCCAAACTTCAGAGGTTCATGTTTGTAACTGTGTGCATGTGGATTTAAAACAAAAGTGGTTTCTGTCTGCTCTCAGAATTCTCCATTACTTATTAACTTCAGTGAATGTGTCTTCTAGGCAGATTCAGATGATCATTAGGGATGGTGCTCTTTTAAGGTCACTTTGGCTTGGGGATGTGCCCTGGCTTGCATGTCTCTGCACTGAGCCAGGGGCCTCTGCAGCCAGCCAGCTGTCTGATCTGCTTCCGTCACATTGCCTTGAGTTCTGTTGTGAACCTTGCTGTTATCAGAGGGAGACTGGGCAGCTCTCTGGAGGAGGATTCTGGAAGGTAAGAAGCATTTACTCTCTACTTTCCTCTTAGTCACAGGGCCAGCTGCAAGTCATCCCAGCGTGGAGCAGCTGGAACCTAAGGACGAAGACCCCTGGGGAAACTCCGGCTTCGGGATTAGCTGTTGCTGCTAATTCTGGGGCTCTCCTTTGGGGTCAGAGCATGAGGCCTCTCTCTGGGTTTGGTTTTAGTAGGCTCCTTTCTCTGTGTAGGTGGCCCTCAAGGGCATGCTAGAGGACTCATGGGGAGGGGTTGCTCTAGATCTTGAACCCCCCCCCCCAAAAGGTCTGTGGGTTAAGATTCAAGGGTTGGTCCCCAGGTGGTGCTGGAGCACACAGTGACTCTGGGTCACCTGGTAATCACTTTGATCACAAATGTAATGAATCCTCCCTTCAAGCCATGCATGATCTTGGGGAGTCGCTCCTTGAGAGCCTCAAAGCAAACAGGCTCAGCCTCTCGGGGGCTGCACCTGGTGCCCCCCTCGTTTTCTGGAGTTTTCCTCAGGCTTCGCTTGCCTCTGGCTTTGCCTCTCCAGTCACTGCCACGGAGAATGTGCCCCAGCCGATCCTGGACGATCAGCAGGAGGTGGTGCCGAGGGGCCATGTGCAGCAAGCTGGCCCTGGGTCCGGTCTGGCATCTGTATTTCTGCTTCAGCTGTCCAACCGCATTTGCTAATCACACAATTTAGTGCCCTGTAAACACGGCCACTGTTTTATTTCCCCACAAGCATTCTTGGAAATAGCAGCTAGGAAGATTTGTTTCTAGTCATGAACCAAATATGAAGGTCACATGATTTTGTCATTTTTTTTTTTCCCCTCACCAAAGAAATATGGGAGGCTTAGGCAGGCCAACCTTCCAATTAATCCCGAGAATAGCTGCCTTCGAGGTGGGTGAGCCCGAATATTACTCACTTTCCTAGTCATTTATCAAAGAAAAACACTGTCCGTTGCCCTCCAGTAGCTCTAACTCATTGGAGGCTAAAATGTAGCCCAACCGGGAGGCTCCCAGCACCATCCGCCTCCTGACCTGTTCTGATGTTGGCTTTCAAATGGCAACGGGTGGACCAGGCCCATGGCTACCCTGGCCAGTGTGTGGCATAGGGCAGGGGCCAGCATTGCCTGCTGGTGAGGGAGTGTTGGGTGCCAGGAGCACACACAGGGACCTACGCTTGCTCCCATTTGTCCTTGTGTGTCTTGGCTCCCAGGGGAAGCAGAGCTTTGGAGTTGTAATGGATTGGAGGGTGGCCTATCTCACAGAGAAGGGCAGGAGGAGGACGGAATCCAAGTGTGACCCACCAGCCTTGCTGTGAAGAATCGGCAATGGACTCAAGCTTACCAAGTGATTTGGGACATGGGGTGAGAAGGAGGTGACACGGGACCGCATGACACTCCCACTCTGGTGGGCAGCCTGCTGTGTGCTTGGCTTGTACTATTTCAGCCTACCCATGCCCTGTAGGGTCTTCCTGGATCCGTGTGGGTTGGGAGGCTCTTGCTGCAGGGGTGCCGTGGCCCTGCCTTGCAGGCTCCCTACCCAGCCAGGGGGTGTGAAGAGTGAAAGGAGGTGTGAAATGGTTCAACAGGTAATCTCCACCCTCATCGGAAAGCTCTTTCCATAGAATGTGATCGTCAAGGTCTTGGGATCTCTTCACTATGCTGAGTGAGGAGGTCTCTTTGGTCCAGATTTCCTAGTTCCCTGGGCCTTGCTGGCTGGACTTCCCGTGACATGATCAGGAGGCACCCACAGAAGGTCCTCTACCTTAATAAGGCACTGCCCGCCTGACTGTGCAGTTCGGGTGGGTTCTCCGGGAAAGAGTGGCCATAACTCTCAGGAAGTGCAGGGCTTGAATCCTGGCCATGCTACCCTCTTGCTGGGTGAAGAGAGCCTCTTGACTCCCCAACAGCAGTTCCTTTATGTGTACGACAGTACTAAAAACTTCCTTCCAGTATTATAAACAGCAAAGAAAGTCTGGGCACAAATGCCACCTCTGGCTGCTGGTCCCCATCTGAAAATTTGTTCATTTGATCAGAGGAAGACTGAGCTCACACCCCTTTCCTTTAACCTCTACTTTAATCATCACAGGTGGGAGGCTAATTTTTCACGTCTGCCTTTTCCTCCCTTTCATCATCTTGTCCTCCCCAGTGAACTCCATTTTCAATATATACTTTGGGAAAACTTTTCCTGCTGGGTGTTGGTTATCTCCTTCTCTTCTGTGGCTGATGATCTGTCCTGAATTGTCACTTGAGGAAGCATGTGGACCAGGGCTGTCCATCTCGGCTCTAAAGGTCTGCAATCTGCGGTAGCCAAGCACCATCCAACACTGCTGTGCCGTGGGGAGTGTCTGCCATTTATGACAGGGCTGCTGCTCTCCAGGCTTTGAGGGAACCAGTGCGAATCCCCCTCTGCTTCTCTTCGGGAGAAACCGGGTGTTGAAAATTAGATTCAGCTGCAAGTGTTTGCAGTCCCACATTCAGCACGATGGATCAGAAGTTGCTAGAGGCTATTTTCGGAGAACTCCTAATACGTACAGTACCAAAATACAGACATGGTTGTTAACACCCTGAGAAATGCCAAATTCAGGTTGGAGCTCAGCCAGCAGGGAAATGGAGAGTCCTAGATAGCTTATCTCTGAGAAAATCTGCAACATATAGGAGATGTGAGATGTGATTATGCAGGAGAGCTTGTTTTCTGCTCTGGTCTACTCGGTGCCTCCAACCTGTGATACCAAGACATTTTCCAAGTCTTTGTTTTCTTGCGAGCAGGTCATGGTGCCTGTGTTCTTACCTGGGCCTCCAGCCCTCTTCTCCCAAAACTCTGCTCTCTGGTCCACCTCAATCTCTTCGGGGATTTCAGTTCCATACCTCCCAACACGAATAACTCCTCATTCTGTCCTGCTAGACTTGAACTTGTTTTGAACTTCAGACCCTCCTTTTAAGTCTCCCTCCCCACTCTCCACCAGCATCAGAGCACAAGTCCTTTGACTTCAAACCGACATCTTTCTCCTTTTTAAGACCGTGTCTTTCATCTTATGGTGTCCTTGCTGACTGAAACTCAAGTAACCATTTAGAATATTCTTTTTAGAAAGGTGACAGAACATGTACCTGGATCAGTATTGATTAGAATTTGGATTTAAAACTTGGGTTTGAATCCCAGCTCTGCAGAAGCATGGTATCGGGTTTTCTCATCTGTGTAAAGGACAGAAGTATCACTGCAGTTTGAACGTGTTCCCTCCAAAATTCACGGGCAGCCAGGGGGATGGAGATGCAATTAAGAGGTGGACCTTTAAGAGGGCATCCATCCACGAGGGCTCCTGCCACACTAATGGGCTTGTAGAAGAGGCCTGGCCTTTGGCTCACTGGGCCTTCTGCCTTCTGCCATGTGAGGACACGGGTTCCTCCCCTTCAGGAGGAACTACAAGGTGCCATCTTGGAAGAACAGCCCTCACCAGGCAACTGAATCTGCTGGCTCCTTGACCTTGGACTTCCTAGCATCCAGAGCAGTGAGAAGACAACTTTTTGTTCTCTATAACTTACGCAGTCTCAAGTACTTTGCTGATGCATGCCAAGCATCCTAGCTGATAATTAGTCATTATGTAATGATTACCCTGAGCCAGGTCGACTTCTATGTGCCTTACATAAGTTCAGTTCTCATATCTAATCAATGTGATTGTGCTCTTATTATTCATTTTTTTTCCCAGACTGGGGATTGAAGCTGCTGAGTATAAGAAAGTAGCCACCTCCCTGACATGGGTTAGTGGGGAATACATGAGCTCCTAGCACAGCACCTGACATTTGGGATATGTCAGCTTTGCATTCCACTTTCCACCACTCCACCAGAATCTGCCGAGCTTTACTTGATGTCTTTCTTAGCTTAAATATATGCACTTTTAGTTTGCAGCGTACACACCTATTGTTGGTGTTGGTTGTAATTCCCCACATGCCCTGTGGCTCTGAAGATTCCCATTCACCCTTCTGTGTATATGTTCACCTTTTAGGTTGAGATGTGTCTGCCAAGGGGATAAGATGATCAGTCACAGGAATTACCAGTTTTAAATCCATCACCACTTGTTCTTAAGGCCCTTTTCTGTGGTCCCTAGGGAATGGAGGAAGAATTCAAAACTTTCAGTTCTAGAAAGTATCCAGTGTGGGAAGCCAGGTCTCCCTACTGAACGTGGTGGCCTCTGTGTGCCAGGAAAGTGGATATGTGGCTCCTTCTGGCTGGCAGGTGCTCCCTGGCTCAGCCCGAGCATGTGGCCCATACTTGAGAAGGGCCTGGCTGGGTGCTGGTGCAGCCTGGGGTCAGGGAGTAACAGAGGTGAGCCAGGTACCAAGTTCTCCCATGTCCAACCTGATAATCTTCATTTAAAATACAAAGTCATGGTACCTTAGAGGGGCTACTTAGTCTACGCTTAGGGTTCTATTAAATGTGTCAGTCTTATCAGTAATTCCAGTATGATCTATTAACAATGGTTAAAAAAGTAAGAAATATATCAAAGAAGTAGGGATGTTGAGTTGCTGGCAGCACCTGAATAAGAATTTTGTGTCTCCCACAGAGCCTTGCGAGACAGAGGCACGGGTGGTCTTGCCCTAGGCCGCGGGCCAAGTTCTGGGTCAGGGGTGTTCTGTCAAGGAGCCAAGCAAGGATGAGCCCCACACCCTCGACTTGAGGCATGGGGGACTGGGAAGGAAAAGGGCGGTCCTTGTTTGCAGGAGGAGGGGGTAAATTCCACGTGGGAGTACCTGAGCTCTGGCCTGAGAGAGATCCAGCCGGTGGGTGGCCAAGATGCAGAAGTTAGAGAAGCCCTTGGCAGCCCTTCCTGCCCCAACCTGGCGGCCTCCTGTGGCTTGTTTGGCTGACCAGGATGACGCAGCATGAGGGGACTCTCTCCAGGACATGGCAGGGAGAGATGAGCACAGCCAGGTGGCCCAGGGACCTTAGGGAAACTCAGAGGAACCTGGCGTGGGGCTTTGGGAAGGAGGCTGCCAGGGCAATGAGGCTGTGGG